TTGCGACTGATGTAAGCCACGGGGTGTTCTCCGCCATCGGCTCCGACTTGGCTCAGTACTGCTCCCAATCCAAACATAGAAGCGTCTGTGTGAACAAGAAAACGTTTAGTTGGATTGGGAGCTGCCAAGACAGGAGCATTTATCAGTGCATTTTTCAGATGTTGGAATGCCTGCTCACACTCCGGGGTCCAGGTCACCTGGCGGGGCAAATTCTTCTGAGTAAGGTCAGTGAGAGGTTTGGCGAGGGCGCTATAGTTAGGGACAAACTTCCTGTAATACCCAGCGGTCCCTAGAAAGGCTAACACCTGGGTTTTAGTCCTAGGAGTGGGCCACTGGGCCACGGCTTCTACCTTGGCAGGTTCGGGCTTCTGTTTGCCGCAACCCACCTTATGTCCGAGGTACTGCACCTCGGCCATCCCTATGCTGCACTTGGCCGGTTTCAATGTCAAACCAGCTTCCTTAATCCTGTCTAGAACCGCTCCTATATGGGCCAAGTGCTCCTGCCACGTATTGCTAAAAATGGCAATATCGTCCAGGTAGGCACAGGTGTAGTCTTGGAACCCATCCAGGAGTCGGTCTACCATCCGCTGGAAAGTAGCTGGGGCGTTTTTCATCCCAAATGGCATGACCTTAAACTGGTACAAGCCAAATGGGGTGACAAAGGCCGATTTCGGGATGGCCTCTGGGGCCAGGGGGATTTGCCAATACCCCTTACATAAGTCAATGGTAGTGAGGTATTGACCCCTGGCCATTCTGTCCAGTAGCTCATCTATCCGTGGCATAGGGTATGCATCGGACACCGTTTTCTCGTTTAATCTCCGGTAGTCTACGCAGAAGCGGGTCGTACCGTCCCGCTTCGGTACGAGTACTACCGGAGAAGCCCAGGGACTATCTGAGGGCTCAATTACCCCCAGTTGGAGCATCTCATCGATCTCCTTGCGCATGTTTTCCCTTACCGCTTCGGGGATGCGGTAGGGGTCTGACGCATCGGTAATTGCCCTGGGGTCTCTACCCGGTGAGTGGCCAGAGGGGTGTACCCAGGTACGTTAGAGAACGTGTCTCGTTTCTCTTCCAACAGCTGCCGTACCTCGATGCGCTCCTGTGGGCTCAGCCGGTCTCCCAGTGTGACTTCCCCTAAATCCCCAGACAGCTGCCCATCTTCCAGCAGATCTGGGAGTGGTAAGCTGTCAGACTCATCTGAATTGGGCGCGCATATGGCGGTTACCTCCTCGGAGCGTGCTTGGTAGGGCTTCATCATGTTCACATGGAGCATGCGTCGCCCTCCCGTCCCTGTACAGGAGCCAATTATATAGGTGGTGTCACATCTCTGTTCCACCACCCTATAAGGTCCCTGCCAGGCGGCCTGTAGCTTGTCATGTCGGACAGGCTTTAAAATCAGCACTTTCTGCCCGACCTGAAAGCTACGGTCCCTGGCTCCCCGGTCATACCATGTGCGCTGGCGAGTCTGGGCCGCCTGAAGGTTTTCCCTTACCGTCCTGGTTAAGGCTTCCAGGCGGTCTCGGAGAGCCAACACATAAGGTATGATGGGGGTGCCATCTGCGCTCCGGTCTCCCTCCCAATGCTCTCTTATAAGATCTAAGGGGCCTCTGACCCTCCTCCCAAACAGCAGTTCAAACGGGGAGAACCCCGTGGATTCCTGCGGCACCTCCCGGTAAGCGAATAGGAGATGCGGCAGGAACCGCTCCCAGTCCTTGTGGGTCTCTGCGAAGGTTCGGAGCATTTGTTTCAATGTGCCATTGAACCGTTCGCAGAGCCCATTAGTCTGGGGGTGGTAAGGGGCACTGATAATAGGCTTAATGCCACAGATCCTCCAGAGGTGTTGGGTGAATTCTGCGGTAAATTGGGTACCCTGATCCGAGATAATCTCCCTGGGTAATCCCAACCGGGAGAATATCTGCATGAGGGCATCCGCGACCGTTTCAGCCTGAATGTTGGTCAGAGCCACCGCCTCTGGATATCTGGTAGCATAGTCTACTACCGTTAAAATGTACCTTTTGCCTGACGGGCTGGCTTTCTTGAGGGGACCTATCAAGTCTACCGCTATTCTGCTAAACGGTTCCTCAATTATTGGCAAGGGGTGTAGCTTCGCCTTCCTCCGGTCTCCCCTTTTCCCTACCCTCTGGCAGGTGTCGCAGGTGGTGCAATACCGGCGCACTTCCTGGCTGATCCCTGGCCAGAAGAAATTTTGGGTCAGTCGATACCTAGTACGGCTGACCCCTAGATGTCCGGATAGCGGGATATCGTGCGCTATCCGGAGTAGCTCTGCTCGGTACCGCTGCGGCACCACTAGCTGCCTCGTCACTATTGGGTCTGACCCCTCAATCTGCTTGTCTGTCTCCCTGTACAAAAGCTGCTTGTCCCAGACAAATCTCTCCCCCTCTCCCCCGGAGGGTCTGCTGTCACCTTGTCTCTGTATACCTGCAAGGTGGGGTCAGTCACTACCTCTGCTGCGAATTCGTTAGGAGGGGCCCAGGGGACACAGTCAAGGGAAGGGGAAGGGTCTCTTACCTGAACCTCCGGAAGTGTGTTGTAGTCCTGGGTGCGGGCCTGTTGACGGGTGACCACAGGATGAGCTTCTCCTGTGGTGGACGTCTGGGGCTCAAAAGCAGATGTGAGCCTCCCCAGATCGTTCCCCAATAAAACCTCCGCCGGTAACTGCGGCATCAACCCCACCTCCACATGTCCTGCCCCCGCTCCCCAATGTAAATGTACCCTTGCTGTAGGTAGCCGGTACACTGCTCCCCCGGCTACCCTGACGGCCACAGTTTTACTTAGTCTCGCTTCATCCGAGACCAGATGACTTTTGACCAAGGTGATGGTAGCCCCCGAATCACGTAGGCCCTGTACTGCTTTACCCTCCAAGTATACGGTCTGCCTGTGATGCTGTCTGTTATCAGCATTGGCCTGGACTGGATCCGCCTCGTGTAGTACTTCCCACTGTTCCGCGGTTGTTATGGGAACAGCTGACCCATATGGTGTGGCCACTATATTTTGGTAGTGATGGGCGGCGGCTGCTCTCGGTGGTGGTGGTGGTGGGCCGGGACGAATCCAGGTAGAACGATCCCTCAGCTGGGGACATTCCCTTTTATAATGTCCCCACTTCTGGCAGTGATGACAGGGGCCAGAAGCGGGCTGGCGAAACCGGGGCTGTACAGCGGGTGGTGGTGGTGGTAGTTGCCTCGGTGGAGCTGGGTTGTAGCTGTTTCCCCCAAAGGTTTTAAAAATAGCTTTTGGGGCTGCTGGTTTCTGCTGCCTGCGTGCATCCAAGTACTCATCGGCCTTCCTAGCAGCTTCGGTAAGGGAGGTGGGGTTTCTGTCCCTCACCCATTCCTGGACCTCGCCTGTTACCCCCTCATAGAATTGCTCCAACAACACCATTTGCAATAAGTCCTCCATGGACCGAGCCTTATTAGACTGTACCCACCCCAGAGCGGCCCGATGCAACTTGCAAGCCCATTCCACATGAGAGTCCTTGTCATTTCTTTTTAGGTCTCTAAACCGTCGCCGATATGCCTCTGGTGTGATTGCATATCGGGCCAGGATCACTTCTTTTACTCGGCGGTAATTCCGAATTTCCTCATCAGGTACAGTTCTATAGGCTTCCGCCGCCTTCCCTGTGAGCTTCCCTGCTAAAATAGGCACCCACTCATCTGGGCTAATATTATGCAAGGCACACAGCCTTTCAAAGTCTTGGAGAAAAGCATCTATATCTTCCTCTGCTTCTATATACGTTTTAAAGGCTTGGTAAGGAATTTTTGTCTTACCCTGTGTGATGGTAGTTGTGGTAGCATTCCTCTCCAGCTGCTGTAGTGGCCTTTGGCGCAGTATAAACTCCTGTACCTCTGACATTGTCCTGGATATAATATCCGTTGTTGGATTCTCTCCATAAAAGGACAGCCTGAACTGCACCTCTCTCCGGAACTCTTCTTTTTCATCTGCTGCACTCTGTTGCTCAGGGATTACCCTGTCCTCCTGCTGGTATTCAGCCATCACTTCTGCAATGAGGATTGCTTTCTTTTTGTTGCTGGCTGCAATGCCTTTCGCTTCCAGGAGATCTTTTAGCGTGGATCTTTTAAGCTTGGCATAATCACTCTCCATCCGTATTCCATTAGTCCTTGTTCCCTTGTGAGTCTGGATCCCAGTGCTGCCAACCAATGTAGCGGAGATGCAATATTCCCCAAGTTGTCTCCGCTTATAATCCAAGTGAGGCTCAGGAACAAGTAAATAATAAATCCATAGGCAAAGTTTCCAGCAGGTAAAATAACAGCAACCTCCCCACAGCAATCCCAATAACTGGACGACACACAGTTTCAGGAGCAGAACTGACAAGCCTTTAATCACAGTCTCCTTATAAAGCATGCTCCCATGCAAGGGAGGGATTACAGTAATTATTACAGTAGCCAATCCTGTCCTGGTAACCTCCCACACATCTCCTCCCCTCAGCCAGCATCATAATCCCCTTATCCAGTACACCAATTCCCCCCGTTTCTGGATGTACCCCTAAACGTAGGGGTACCTCTTTAAATCCTACATCCCCTGGTAGCCCTGATCTGGGTGAACAACATATCCAAAAACCACCCAGATCAGACCAGGGGTTCGGGAAAAGTATGGAGGGAATAAAATGACCGACCGCACGAACTGAGATAGCCGAATTCGGTTCCATGTGAATGGGCCCTGCGGTCGGTCCTGGCATAAGGGAATAAAATACACGAAAACCTCTAGCTATAGAGGCTAGGGAGGGTTCGCCTGAATCCCCTCGTTCGGTATTCTCTATCTACCGAACGAGGGGCCGTTCGGTAGTTTGGAACCGAACGGACCAGGGCTGTGGAGGTCTCAGCGGTGTTCGCCTACTCGAGTGTCCGATTTTAGTTCCAGACACTCGACGGCAAAACACCGCTGTTCGGGAGTTTTAAAATGGCCGCCGCCACGTGTTCGTTTGTCGAATGGCGGCCACCCCCGAGAACAAAGGACGGCTACTTACTGTTCAATTACCCGTTCGCAACAATGTTGCAACGGGTAATTGAGGACACGCTTCACACAGGGGAGGTCTGGTTGTTCGGTAGTTTCATTCGAATAAACTAAGGGAACGAAACTACCGAACAATCACAAGAATACAAGGCTTTAGAACACATAGGAAACTAACAGATCACGCGAATGCATTTATTTCACAGACATTTGCAGGACAGCCCAGTGCCATCCGCTACATGTATATCTACATGCTGGAATAATAGAATGTAGGCAAATTACAACACAATTGTACATCGGTATGACAGAAACTACTCCAGGATCCGGAGGGAAAGAAAAAGGATACAAAATGCCAAATAACACTTTATTACTTGGAGTGCAAGTAAGCAGCCCCCCATGACGGGTTAGGTTGCAAAAGGAATGGGCCATTGTCTGGATGTGGTGTCATCGTATAATTTGATGTGTGATGAACCAGCTTATTTGTTAGGTGTCAGACAGGTCAGGCACATAGTCTTGGTGTGGGCTCTGAAGCATATGGAGCAGATGTGCAACAACCTGCATGCGCTGTAGCTGCATATGCCTGTGTTAAAGTTATTGCACACCTGCGCCTTGCCCAAGAATGTGATGGGTCTGACCAGCTTGTCTCTCTGGACACCTTGCTGTCTAGGGAGTGGGGTGAGGGGGTTGTGGGGTGATAAAGTGGAAGTGGAAAGGTCTGCGTCCCCAGGGCATAGATCGGTGGAGTGTGAAGTGGAACCACAAGACGTACAAGATGGGGGCCTCAAACCAGCAAAGTGACGGCAGAACAACTCAGAATCTATCTGACACCAATCGATTCTAATATTGAATTGAGTCAGATGAGTAGCTGCCTTGGCCGAAACTGATTTGTGGTAATCGTAAAATGAGGACCCTCTATAAATCAAGCTCTTCTCTCCTACACCGTGCAGATAACGTCGCGATAAGTGCCAAACGTGATAACAAACTGTGGGATGGTGAGTTTGTTATTCAAACATGGGTCTCTAGCTCTTAAGGCATCCGAAATGTCCCCGTAGTTATATGCTCTATTTTCTAGGACGTCTTGGGAGGCTATGAAGAGGGACATTAAATTGACATCCTTTCCATCAAGAATATCTTTCTTGATGGAAGCCGGGACAGAGTGGGCTGGTGAGGCTTGGGCAGTGGGAGTGGTAGTGGCTGGTGGGGTAGGGGAGATGAGAGGTATGGCAGTCAGAGCGGTCGAGGTTACCGGTGTAAGGACTACTGGGGCTGTTAAGTCACCTGGAGTGGCTATGGCTGATTCCGCCTTCAGAAACCTGCTGTTAATGGATTGCAGATTGGCCAGTATAGCCGCCAGAGTTTCCTGGGTGGAATCAGAGTAGCCAACTGGAGGCCCTTGTGAACTCGTGTCGGGCCTTGGGTCGTTGGCCTGAGTCATCAGCAGTTTATAAAATTCTGCTTTTCTGGCGGTGGCTGGAAAGGGGATTCCCCTGAGCCTGAGCTCAGCCGATATTTTTGGAATGGTCCAATTTATTACGTGTGGCCGTGACATGGGAAGCCCTGACTGTAGCCCTAAAGAAGAGCGAGCGAGGTGGCTAGCTATGATTTGGTTGTGGGGCTGAACTTCCGTGTATGAGGTAGGGGTGTAGACCTTGTGGACCGCAATATTATTGAGGAAAGCTAGGGCCAGCACCTGACCCTGAAAGCCAGTGGGATCCCACAACTGAGCAGTATTTTTTGACAGATATGAAGGCGAAGTGAGGCCTTAGAAGGACATAATAGTAGTGAGTAAGATTTAGGGATACCTGCTACTGAAACATCGGAAACCAGTTAGCCTGATGGTCGTTGAGAGCGTAGTGAATCTGCGCAATGGTGCAGGTCTAAGTAATGATATAAGCAGTACAATAAGGGTGCGCCTAAAATATATACTAAGTTGTTTAAAATATAATAAAATAATAAATAGTAAAACAATTTTTAATATATTTAAAATATGTGGTTAACAATAGTCCAAAACTTATCAAAGTTCGTGATGGTAGGTCCCACGTGTAGAAAAGAAAATTCTTGAGATGTGGAGTGAAATCAGATCTTCATAATTGTATGCTTGGAATTCAGTGAAGCATATGTGAAGAAAAGAAAAGACAGAACTCCAATGGTACAGTATATAAATGCGTAGAAAATAAAGTAGTGAAATAGGTCTTACTCACACTTTTCAGAGCTGACATAATGAATATGAGGTAGATACAATGGTTAATATAAAAAACGAAGGTTATAAATACATAAAAAAGCTTAAAAAAAAGCGATCACGTGACGCGCGATTGAAAACACTTCCGCGTCATGTGATGCTGAATGGCAGAGAGGAAACTGTCTGCTCGAAATAGCTATTTCGAGCAGACAGTTTCCTCTCTGCTCAGCAGGCTTTCTGGCTGCTCGGGACAGTTTATCCCTCCCATATGACGCATGCGTTCCATATTAATGGAACGCATGCGTTCCATTCAGCATCACGTGACGCGGAAGTGTTTTCAATCGTGCGTCACGTGATCGCTTTTTTTTAAGCTTTTTTATGTATTTATAACCTTCGTTTTTTTATATTAACCATTGTATCTACCTCATATTCATTATGTCTTTATAAATCCATGGCAAATTACTGTTTTTTTGATTGTATCAATTTTGATGATTCTGATGACGTAATTTTGGCGGGAATTTTAAATTTAAAACCCTATATAAACTTTTGTATGTCAGGTGTGCCCCCCTTTTTTATCACTATCTAGGTGAAGAAGCCCTTGAGGCGAAACGCATCTAGATATTATTTTATTACTTTATAATAAAGAAACCTTTTTGGCATATTATATTTTATTGCCATTTTTCTTTCTTTCCACCTGACTACTTACATTGCCTATTTTAGAAGAAGCATAAAGAATCCATAGGTGGGGATTATACCACCCAAGTGCTTATACTGAGCAGTACAAACCTGCTCAAAAGAATGTGAGTAATATATATATTTTATACTCTTTTAAACTTTTTACCAAATACAGAGAGCACTATATATTTTATTCTCTTCTTCTGGGTCTAATAATACCAACTTGGACGTCGAACGTGTGCCAGAGAATCGCCAATTGAAGTCTACTCTGCATATCCATGAGTGGGGATTATTCCACTTCACTCGCGCAATATCAGAGCTGGATTTTCAGCTCTGAAAAGTGTGAGTAAGACCTATTTCACTACTTTATTTTCTACGCATTTCTATACTGTACCATTGGAGTTCTGTCTTTTCTTTTCTTCACATATGCTTCACTGAATTCCAAGCATACAATTATGAAGATCTTATTTCACTCCACATCTCAAGAATTTTCTTTTCTACACGTGGGACCTACCATCACGAACTTTGATACGTTTTGGACTATTGTTAACCACATATTTTAAATATATTAAAAATTGTTTTACTATTTATTATTTTATTATATTTTACACAACTTAGTATATATTTTAGGCGCACCCTTATTGTACTGCTTGTTTTGTGTTACTTCCTATTACCAGGGGATTAGAGGGGATTCCCCTTTGAGGAGTGCAGCCTTTTCTTACTGTGGCCATTCAGCGCTGATTTTTTCCTGTTTTTTCCACTAAGTAATGATATGTAGAAGTGAAAACAGAATTAACACTTAATATAATAGTAACCTGGAGGGTGAGGCATCTTTAACCTGGTGTGTATAAAGTTTTGAGCCCACTTTGGGAGGTGGGAGGGTATTGTAAAAAAGGCAGTGGAGGCTGAAATGAGGCGTCAGGAGAAACTTAAAATGTTTTAACCTTATTTACCTGATACCGTGACATGGGATACTGGAACCCCCTCCTGGAGTCTTCTTGAAGAAAGAGTAGTACAACCTAAAACATTTTCATTAAGTAAAAATAAGGAACCTGAGTATAGTATTACAATATAAACAGAGATTTGGAAATAAGAGCTACTGAAAAAGTGAGCGTGGAGCTTAATAACTTTAAGAGGTTTGATGGGGCTCAGCCCTTTGAGAGCGAAAAAAAAAAACGTAAAGGGGATAACTGTTACTTAAGAGAATACCCCTGGTAATATATACATAATTATATGTGACAATGAGTGGTGAAATAATGCCATTTAGAGTAAAGGGAAATTGTAGGTAGAACCGTGAACATATGATATAAAATAATACATAGAGAAACATACTTAAATATGAAAATTAAAATGCATAGAACCTCATGCGTTCGGCTACCGAACATGCAAGAGAAATATAATAGGACCGTGTGTGTTAGATTTAATGAAACAAAATGCTAGTGTCACAGCCGTTCGTATGTGTTTCGTCTAACGAAAGTGAGAAACAGGCGAACGTAAAGTATAAGCGTTCGGTAAAATTTTATTAACGAAAGAAAGAACAAAAAGCGTGTGTACTCTGCGGTCGGCTAAAAACCTCCCAAAAGGAGAAGTACACGAATGGCAGATTTACACGAATGGGTAAGTAATATATCTAGGGAGCCTTTTCCCGCGTTTTTAGGCCCAAACATGGGAAATAGCCGAACGCTACTTCCCACGTTGATGCTTACTTTTGTGTGCCGGTCTCGTGACCGGAAGCTCGACAGCCGGGTAACGAGTAGGGAATACCGCGGGGTAGCCGGTGGGACGTCTGCGGTAGGTGCTGCTGGAGGGAGATTGTTTGCTCAATGCAGGACTTGGCGGGAACAGCTGATCGGAAATGCAGGTAACTATGGTGACAGTCAAAACAGCTTGAACGGCAAAGGTAAGTAAGGGGGTAGGGTTTATAAAGGGTCATAACTCCTCCCACAAATTCAGGCCAAATGGCCTTCCAACATATATATATATATATATATATATATATATATACACATATACATACACACACAAAAGAAACACACAGTATGGGTAACACTCACAAATGTAGAACCATCCCAGGCTCTATATTGAAAGCCTCGGGATTCCAATTCTTGCTTAAGGTGTTCACTAACAGGGACTCAATGTTTCAAGGAGGTATTTATTTGATATTAAAAAAGTAATAAAATATATACAGGACTAGTACAAGCAGTGTGTTAAACAGCAATCATATACACTATTGCCACCACAGCAAGTCCTTAAAAGATACAGCAAATGCGTTTCAACGGATTCACAGTCTTCTTCAGTG